TGTCGGTTTTTTTCCATGTTGTTTTTCTACAAGAGCAAAAGTCAACATGACAAGTTTGCTGAGCCCTGTTTCTGTCTCTTTTTTATCTATGTAACCAATGCCAATGGAAACATTAGCCACTCTTTCAAACAGCAAGCTGCAGAGGCCAGCAAAACACATGTGGTTTGTTCTTTATATTTATTACATCAAAATCATGCCTACTTGCCTTTTTCCTTCCTTTTATTTTTAAAAACAATAAAATGTAGTGGATGTTTGAGGGAAGATTCCAGGATGAAACACTTTCTGTTTTGATAAGAGGAAAGCCAAGAGTAGATTCTCAGCTGCTTGCATGGATGTGGCTCCTTCCTGAGAGCAGGGATTGACGCCAGGGAAGATCTACTCTTTTGGGTTCAAAGAGCAACCCATATAGAGTTTCTGCTCCCTGCGTGTCTTCCACTTAATGGGCAAACAAATGTTATCTATTGTTAGCTCTGCAGAGACAAAAGAAGAGCAGGGGGAAAGCTGGACGGTGCCCTAGCCTGTAGTACTGCATTTGTGTGTAAGCTACTACACAAGTCCTGATACATTGTGTTCTGGGTGTAGGTGTTTGAGATACCAATGTGTGTGTTATGATACACACAATACACCTTGCTGCAGCCAGTGAAGTTCTGGCAGACTGTCCATCATCTAGGGATGGAGGAGCCAGCCCCTGTTCCCTCGTACTGCCCTCCATGGGCCCCAGACTTGAGGGGTGGGAGGATGGAGGTGCTCCTAAATGCACAACAGAAACCTCTCCCCAGGAGGCATCCTGTTCTTGCAGCAGGAGGAGTCCCAGATGGATGCAATGCATTTGTTCCTCAGCAGGCTTCAGATTTTAAATTGTAGAATGTTAAGGGTAGGAAGGAACCCCAAAGACCATCTAGTACTGGCTCATATTCAATCTTCCATCTACCTGGACCCCCAGGTCCCTTTCTGTGGGGCTGTTTTCCAGCCTCTCATTCCCCAGTCTGTCTCTACGTCCTGGGTTGCCCCATCTCAGGTGCAAAATCCTAAACTTTCCCTTGTTACACTTCAAGTTGGTGATTGTCCAATCCCCTTATTTCTCTTCGCATTTGCTCCTTTTGATGCAGCCCAGGATTCAGCTGGCTTTCTGGGCAGCCGGCTAAAACCAAACTTGCTAAACTAAACTAAACTAAAAAAAAAAAACTTCAAAATACCCCAAGCTTTCTGAACTAAACTAAACTAAACTAAACTAAACTAAACTAAACTAAACTAACCTGCTCTAAGCTTTCTAGACTGCCAGCTCATGTTGAGTTCTTCATCAGCCATCACTCACGAGTCCTTCTCTGTATAAAATATGTGGTTTGTATTTTTCCCATCAGCATCCATGTCTCATTGCTTTGAGCTTATTTGGTTGATTGAAATTGTAGAGGAAGCTGGTTTTATGTTGGGGGTTTTATAATGGAAAAATTAAGTTAACTCAGGGAATATAGGTTTTTCTGCCACTTCTTGCAGGATATTTCAGCTCTCTGAGGGACAGATGCTGTTGCTTTCATTTCTACATCTCTATGCATGGCGTAAGACTCCCTTGACCCTACTCCTGGAAAGCTTTGACAATTACACTGAAAAGTAGGGATTCAGTCAGCAATTCAGAAAATATCCCTGTGGAGGAGCCACACCACTGGGGAGGTGCAGGAAAACCTCAGCCAGGCCTTGGGAACTGGAAACATCCAAACCTACACTGCCATTATCATATGTTCTTCAGAGCATTGGTCTTTTCTTCACTTAGTATCTTTCAGCTGGCTGAAAATTATAACCCTCTCAACATATAATTAGTACCCCCTTATAAACACTATGCATGGTTTAAAAACTCCTCCAAGCTTTTGCAGAGCAGCAGAAATATCCTGTAAAGGTGAGTGAAAGGGCTATTTTTATACTGGAAGATGAAGGTGCTCTGCATGCATGCTTGTCTGCAGTTGTGGAGGAGCAGAGCAGGTGCAGGTCCTTGAGGGACTGTGAGAGTTGGGGTTCTTCAGCCTGGAGAAGAGAAGGATCTGGGGGACTGTAGAACAGCCATCCAGCACACAAAGGGGTTTACAAGAAAGGTGGAGAGGGACTTTTTACAAGGGCATGTAGTGACAGGACTAGGGGTAGAGGCTTTAAACTGAAAGAGTGCTGGCTGAGATTAGATATTAGGAAGAAATTTTTCTCTGTGAAGGTGGTGAGACACTGAAACAGGTTGCCCTGTGAAGAAGAAGTGGTGGGTGTCCCATCCCTGGAAGTGTTCAAGGTCAGGCTGGATGGGGCTTTGGGCAACCTGCTCTAGTGAAAGGTGTTCCTGCCCTTGGCAGAGGGATTGAAAGTAGGTGATCTTTAAGGTCCCTTTAAACCAGAACCATTCTGATTCTATAATCCTGCCCGGCTGTCTCTGCCAGCTCTTTAGGGAACCAGCAAAATGGGTTTTTTTAATGTATTGTGACCATCAAAATGCATGTGTTGTATTGTCCCCTTTTCTGAAAACGCTTTTATAAGAATTAAGAACCATTAAAATCTCTCAGGTGCATGCATTTTTGTCAGACCAATAGAAAGAAATGCACTACACAGTGTTGAGAGATATCTTTTTAAACTGCAAACCCAAATTTTATGTAGTATTGTACAAACATTGCCATTAAGTGAAAGAATACATCTGTAAGTTATGATACAATTTTATTGGTGGGTGTTGACATGAAGTGTCAGCCTTCTATATTGGATTAATATGTGGGATTATGTGCAACACATGTAGTAATCAGTGGGTTTTTAAAATTCATCACATTATTCTTGTTTTGTTAAACAGTCACAGGTTTTCTAGCTAATTGTGAATATCTTCTTTTTATGGCATGAGTTTTAGACAGTGGGGGCTGCCTTATTCTATTGTAATAACTATTTGAGCTCTCTTCACTGCTTTGCCCCGAGGCCCAGGGAGCAGCTCAGGATCTCAGAGGGTTTTGCCCCCTGATACCAGCTGCCCAGGAAAGCTCCAGGGCAGTGCTGGTGCTGGAGAGGTTGTTGGTGAGCTGTGCTAGAGGTGCCCTACTCACTAAATGCTGCGTAAACCAGCGTTGGCTGTTGTTGATCCCAGGCTCACAAAATGATTAGAAGGGACCACTGGAGGTCATCTAGTTCAACTTTCCTGCTCAAGCAGGGCTCCCCAGAGCATACTACTCAGGATTGTGTCCAAAAAGCTTCTGAATAGCTGCAGAGAAGGAGACTCCACAATCTTTCTGGGCAGCCTGTTGTGGTGCTCTGTCACTCTCAGAGTAAAGAAGCTTTTCATCATGTTCAGGTGAAACTTTCTATGCAGCAGTTTCTGCCATTGCCTCTTGTCCTATCACCTGGCAACACCGGGAGGAGCCTGGCTGCATCCTTTTGGTGCCCTCCCTTCAGATACTGATCGATATTGATAAGGTCCCTTCTCCAGGCTATACAGGCCCAGATTCCACAGCCTTTCCTCAAAACTGAGACGTTCCAGTCCCCTAATCATCTTTGTGTCCCTTCATTGGACCTATTCCAGGAGTTCCTTGTCTCTCTTGCACTGAGGAGCCCAAAACTCCACATGTGCCTCACCTGGGCTGAGTAGAGGGGCAGGATCACCTCACTGAACCTGCTGACCACACTCTTCCTGTCACCCCAGGATGCCTTTGGCCTTCTTGGTCACCCTGCTGGCTCATGGACATTTTGTTGTCCACCAGGACCTTCCCTGCAGAGCTGCTTCCCAGCAGATCAGCCCCCATCCTGTACTGGTGGTCCCTGGGGTTCCTCACCAGGTGCAGGATCTGCATTCACCTTTGTTGAGTTTCAGATGGTTCTCTGCCCATCTCTCCAGCCTGCCCAGGTCCTTCTGAAGGGCTGCACAGCTCTGCGGGGTACTGGCTGCTCCTCCCAGCTTTGTGCCATCAGTGAACTTGCTGAGGAGGCACCTGCCCCTCGTCCCAGTTATTGATGGATCAGTTAGATGATACTGGGACACAGTATTGAGCCTTGGGGAACACCATGAGCTACAGGCCTCCAACTGGACCTTGTGTAACTGACCACAACCTTCTGAGATCTGCTGATCAGTTTTCTTTCCACCTCACTATCCACTCATGCAGACCTGATGAGCTCAGAAGCATTTTCTTGTTGCTAACACTTTGTCTTTCCTCCCTGCTTTCCACAGGTGAAAGTCTTTTCCTTCTCCAGCATCTTCTGTGTCCTACTCCTGGCATGTGCCTGTGTGATGGGGCTCTGGTAAGGTGGAGAGAGAGAGGAAAAAAGGAAATTAGGAGGAAGGAGTGGATTTTAGCTAGAGTTACAAGGAAATTTGAGACACTGGTGTTGTGTCTCTTCCTGCAGGAGAAGGCTGCACAGGTGAGTCAGAATCAGATGGAGGCATGCACTGCTCTGTCCCTTTCCCATTATGTTTTTTGGGAGCAGCTGGAGAAGCATCACATGCAGGCTAGCAGAGGGACCAGCTACTGAGGCCAGCCAGCTCTGGGGCCAGCCCTGCACGGCTGCTGCCCTCGTCGCTCCAGCAGGACCGCTGCTGCCTCGCCCGAATCTGGGCACAGTGTGGGTGACCAAGCATGTGTCACTGCGGCTATGAATAAAACTTCAGTTGTGTGTCACTTAGAAAGACCCTAATTTTAGCTAGCCAGCGTGTCACTGAGGTGCCCCGGCTCCCTGGCAGGGCAGCTTTTGTGCCCCACCATACCAGGTGTATAATGTGTGTTTTCCTGCGGGAGGCTGGGGATGAGGGAGGAAGAGGAGGAGCGCGTTTCCCACAGGGACAGGGTTAAGGGAGCAGCCGGCGCGGGCAGCCCCGGCGAGCCCGCGGTGTTTGCCTTGTCCGGGCGCCCGCGCTGCCGCGGCGTGCGCGCAGCGTGACGGATGACCCATGGAAATCATTGCGGAGCAGGGCTGGCGTTGCCAGGACAACGGCGGCTCCCCGGGCCGGGCCGGGCCGGGCCGGGCCGGGCCGTGTGACGGGCGCCTGACGTCAGGGGGGCTGAGCTTGCGGCCCCGGCCGCGCCGGCAGACCGGGAGAGACAGAGCCCGCTGGATGCTGCAGCCATCCCCGCCACCGCCACCGCCGCCGCTGCTGAATCCCGGGGGCTGCCGGAGCATGGACTGCTGAAAACTTGCATTTCTGCAGCGTGAGGTAACCGCTTGCTTTGTGTTCTCATCAGGTTTGGGTTATTTTCCTTAAAAAAAAAAAATAGAATAGAAAGAAGCTTGTATCAGTGGCTGATATTTTTTTTTCACTTGTTTGTTTTGGCTGGAAGTTTGCCTTGATGAACAAATCCAGCGCTATCAGATAAATGCAAAGCGGCTTCCAGTTACTAATTCTGTGTGTAGACGGCAAAACGGAGTTAAATATAGATTAATGATCCATGAAAGGAGAATAAAATGATATCGCTCTCGTTTGACACTTTAGGAATATAAATGAACGTGAGTAATCCCAGGCTAATGCATTCGGGAGTTAAAAGAAATGGTGTTAGGCACTGTGTTTTTTATACCTCTGCTGGAATTTGTTGTTTTTTAATTCTGCCCGGTTCAGGCGGGTTTGTACCCAGTGTGTCCAGTGAGGGGGAAGCCAGCAGTCACTGCAGCCAGGAACAGCTTAAAATCCAACTCTCAGAGTTCAGCATTGAAATCATCTTTGTTCGCGCGGGGTCCCTGCGCGCTGCCCGGGCTCTCTGCCCTCTCCGGGGCACTCCTGCCTGCATGGTCTTACAGAGGAGAGAGTCAAAATCTTCCTGAAAAATTGTCTGAAATACGCCAAGAGAGCAGCATTGCCTTAACACAGGCTTTTACCCTTTTTCTCACAAGCACACACGCACACACACAGGGCTTGTTTATTCTCTCTCTCTCTCTCTCTCTCTTTTTTTTCTGTTGTGCATTGAGATCAGTTAGAATAGCTAAAAAAAGAACTGCAGCATGAGCAGCATGATTTTTCAATCACCACAGTGACTGAAAAACGAAATGCTATTTGGGTCTTTTTGTACAAACAAGAGGGAGTTTGTGTCTGTTTCTGTATTGCACTTACTCCGAGGTGGCTGTTGTGGGGAAGGATATCCCAGAGCTCCTGAAGTTTAGACTGAGTTTGTTTGTGTGGGAACATATAGATTTGTTTTAAGAACAGATTACAGCTGAAGCATCATGTGCGTTGTTTCCTGGAAAAGTATGTTAGATCTTTCTTATCTTCTCTAATTATACACTCCTGTTCCCTTCCTCCCAAAGTTCAAGGGGTTTATCGATAATGGTAATGATTCTTTAAAGCAGCTGCTGGTCTAAAACAGTGTGGAGCTACCAGACAATTTAAAACACAGAGCAGTAAAAGATTAAAAAAAAATCTATAACAATTATTCTCATGTTATCAAATGCAGCATAAGTAATTGTTTCAGAAAGAGAGCCAAGACAGATATTAAAACTGAAGGCACTTCTCTAAGGAAGTTACGGCTTAGTGCTCTGGATTTCACTGCATTTGGCATTCTTAGCAGAGAACAAGGATAAATGCTGAAACATCTGAAATGTCTGAACCATTTCATTTGGTGTTATCTCATCAGTCTTTTCCAATTCAACTGATGCCCTAAGACATTATTGTTGGGGGGGGTTCAAATATTTCAAATGGTCTTTATTAAATTCTTCACCTGATGCCACTGCACCAGTGCATGGGGAATCTCTCCTGGCTCCTCACAGGTGAGTTTTACCCAGATTTGCAGGAGCTTGGCAGTGTTGGAGAGGTTGGCACTCCATGTGCAGCCTTGCCACGGGCAGTGAGCGGGCTCTGGGTGTCCCTGCCCGGTGACCTGCCTGGGCTGAGCTGCTGTGGGGAGCTGTGTGCCAGCCCAGGGCTGAGCTGCTCTGGGGGGCTGTGTGCCAGCCCAGGGCATTCATCCCCCTCCATCTGCATGCGAGCTCCCAGAGTGCAGAGATGGGCTAGCAGGGGAGGACAGGGAGGTGGTTTATACAGCCCACCACCCTCTGAGGTCTGCTTGTTCACCAGCTTATACTGCTGGGGTAAGTCTGCAGAGGGACCAAGGTGTGGAGTGTGGGGACAGATTTGAGCTGAGTGGCACCTGCCATTCAAGAGAAGTCATTCACCCTCACATCTGCAGGATTTGACTCCATGTGTAGCTGCTGTCGCCTCCCAGACTGAACTTGAGTGATGAGGCTCAGTGTGGGCTGAGGCTCATGTTCATTCATTTAGGCTTGAATACAGTGTTCTGTAGCATTTGATGCCTTGAAACCACCTGTAAGGAGAAAAATAATTGATGCAACTTTTGCTCAAGAGCTATTCATTAGAAATGTCTTGAAAATATGGAATAGGGATACTATTCATTAGTGATACTGAGGCAGTGTTGAAAAGCTCTAACTTGACCCTAGAGTGAAGGATGATAAACTACTTCACATTTTAGCAGGAGGGTCCTGTACGTGCTGTTGCAAGAGGTCTGAGAGGCAATGTCATAGGGGAAGCAGGTGAGTGCCACTGAGGTTGGATGCGTCCTGCCTGGCACAGTGACAGCTCTGTCCCCTCTTGATGAGTCTTTGCAGGGTTTTGGCATCCCATCACCAGGCTCTAGCCATTTTGCCCCTGAGATGGGAATGGGCTGCAGGCAGGCAGCTCACAGGCAGTGCCAGAGTCTGCAGCTGGAGGTGACACAGATCCCTGCTCAGGAGAGAAGGGAATGGTGTGTGAGAGTCATCCTGGGGCTATGTGCCTCTGCTTGATGATTTCATGCTCTTGTTGTCACTGGTCAGCTCTGTAGCAAACTCTTTGGACAAGCTCTCGGGGTTACCTTGGCAGTGTGTGAAGCTGCCAGGGAAGATCATGCTAAGCATCCCTCCCTCTCTGAGCTGCCATGCGTGCACCCAGGAGGAGAAAAGAGCAAATAGCCTGTAGGCTCCTTCTCACCATCGAGAGGGGAAGGGGGCTGCATCCTTCCCCTTCTGCCCGACGCCACAGCTGACGCTGCCAGCTTCCCTGGGCTTGAAATCCTCTGACATAAAGAGAAAAATGTGAGATGCACATGGGCTTGGCAACACTCCACCTCCTTTTAGGGAGTCTAGACTGACCCTCCAACTTCCCATCAGGCTTCATGTAATTTGCAAATGTCACCCCCTTTGCACACCCATGAGGGAGGGACGATCTCTTCCTCCAGACTCCTTGTCCATGGCAAAGGGAGAGCAGAGCAGCAATTCTGAGGAACTGGAGCACTGCACCTTAGGAAAGAGCTTGGCTAAAGTCACGTCTGAGATCTCCTCAAGTCACTTCTCACACAACTGCGTACAGCAGGGAAATCAAAACCAGATGTGAGCTGTTGATGCCTCTAGCCTCATAATAATAACGCACTCAGTGTGCTCTACCTTGATCTGGGTGAGTTGATGGGCAATGACAATCTAAATTTAGGCCAGAATCATAATAAAACCTAAAAGCCCCTTGCAGTGCAGAGCACTACTCCTTGAATTTTTTCAAACAGAATGCGATTTCTGCTGTCTTTGTAAAGGTCCTAGCTACTGCTGAGGCAATATTCATGGGGGGAATAAAATCCTCTGTAGAGGGTGGCAGTTGTCAGTGGGAACTGATGCTTCAGTATGGAGTTTCAGGATCTTAAATTACTTATTGCAGAAGTTGGTTCCCACTCTGCTAAAAATCATTACATTGTGCTAATTTAATGTCTGCATCAACATTAGGAACAACTGGTTTAAATGATAGCTGATCTGCAGTAGAGATTTGGCATTTTAACCAACAGTTGTTTTTCCAATTAAATGCAGATGCCATACGTAGGGTACTCTGAATGCAAAATAAAAGCTGACCTGGCTGTTGGTTCCAAGCTAAAGCAACAAAAATCCTAACTCTGGAATGTTTTTGGTAGTCATATTTTAGAAATAATCTTCTGTGGTGAGCCAAAATCTGTACAGACAGCTATAGTCAGATAACAGTTTAAAAAATAGACTATGTTTTGGCTGTACTTTTGCAGCTGTTAAATTTATCTTCTTAAATAGCAGGGAGTATGAGTTGAGGGTTGAGAAACAGTAATTTTGTAATTATTTTATATGGATTGAATTATTCTGTCATCAAATTTGCATTTCAGACAGCATTACAGTATGAAAATATAATTAGAAACTGTAATTCAGGAATTGCTGAATGTGATATTTCCCAGAGGGAGCACTGTGAAGAAGCTGCCCTTACTACAACTTTAGCAAATGTTGAAATCCTATAGGTGGAAAATGTGAAGGCTGAGTTGTAAAGTTCCTCTCCCTTCTGTGGTCTTCACATACTGTCAGTTCTCTGCTTAACTTCATTTTTTCATAAGATTCATTTCCACAGAATCATCTAATCATTACAAGCTGAAGGGCTCAGATCCTGTTCTGCTGAATTTCAGACTGGCTGTGCTGATAGCTGCTGAATTGCTTTCAGCCACAAAATGACACTGAGATAATGTAAGGATCTGATTTACATGCAAAAAAAACCAAGAAGCTTGTAGTTTGGTCTGAAATGCTGGTTTCAATTTGCCCAGCACCTGAAATTCCCAGCCACGCCTCCTTTCACAGGAGGTAGCTGAGGGTGGGTCTTGGTTTAGCTCTGTTTATCTTCTTTTGTAGTTCCCTATTTTTTGCAGTATGTGTTCACAGTGTTGTGCAAAGTTTTAGCTGTATAAAACCCACTGATGTCAATCCTTGTGTTTTTTATTCTTGTGATAATCTATGGTTTATTATAGACATACTGCCTGGAAACAAACATGTCTTGTGTTTTTTATCTGGGCTTCATTTGACAAATCCCATATGCTTTTGCTTGAGACATGCACTTTTTAGGAGAACATCTCCATGGCCAATTTTTTTCCCACCACCTTGTTGGGGCATTGGTCAGGTCCTTATGTGAAACCAAGCCTGTGGTGCACAAAGCAGGGATGGCAGTGGGAGGAGACAGAAGCTGAGGGTTAAAACCATTTCCCATGGCTGCCCAGGGCCACCTTCCTGCACCTAGCCCTGTCACTTTGCCTGGGTGCTGGGGAAGGTGTCTCTCCCATCACTCACATTTTGGGTGATGCACATCCTGCCCCCTGTGTCTGGTATTTGCAATATGAGCATAGCACAGGAGCTCCAGGGTGTCACTGCAGATGGCCATTTCTGTAAGAGAGGATGCAGTAAGCCAGG